GGCGGTGGGACAGGTCATTCCAAGTCTGGGCAAAAGACATCAGCTGCTCGAGGCGAAGCCTAAGCTGGGGGTCGTCCCGCGGCGCAGGCGCCAACGAAAGCGTGGTCGTCGTGCAGGCTCCCGGAGACCACCGGCCCGAGCAACGCGCAGCCTGGGCACGCATACACCTCAGGCGATGCTTAAGAAAACTTAAATTTTCGGCCAGGGTCTCGATTATTCTTAATGTTTCAACGTAAGTCCTAAGATTTGAATAGAAATTTTGGGTTTTTTGTCAAGTTCTGAGACTATGAATTTCTTAACCCATGATTTCTTAAGCATTTCGCAGGGTGTAGACTGCACTTGGGCTGGCGACAATCCGAGGACCTGGTGCCCCCACGATCCGACGGCGAGGACCCCGGGTTTGTACAGTTTAGACGCTCGCCCCACGAGCTTGCTAAGGTATTTGACCTTCTTAGCCTTCTTGTAGGCCGCCTTCCGACGAGCCTTGACCTTTTAGAAGTGTCACGACGACACCCGGCCGTCGTCATAGTGTCAAGGTCTTTGACAGCATCCATAGGGTGGATCGGAATGGCCGCAGCCTCAAATCTAGCAGAGAGCTCATCACGCAGTGACGAGTGCGACCCAACAAAACCGCCCTTGGAAGATATCACACGTTCAAGGGCCTCAAGCCCATGGCAGAGTTCAATGGCAGCAGGAACAATCGAAGTTACAAACATCCTCTTCACTAGCCACTTGCTCGGACTGCGACAAGTCATCAACGCAAGAGCGGAGACTCACAAACTTATGGTTCCGATGAGCCGACGAAATGAGGTCATAAATATACATCTTGACCCGGGACATAGACTGAGTGCAACCCGCAAGTATGCCAGACCCAGCAGGGATGATGTCAGTAGTGTAGGCAGTAACGTCAATGGTGCGCGGGGACGTGTGCACCAACATCCCTAGGTAAAGGAGGTGCAGGGGGCACACTAGTTTAACCCCGAAGTGGATCAGACGAGCAGGATTACAAGTGTCGAAAAACTTGGTGAGGTTCCAATGGAGGGCAGCCGAATACCCCCCTCAACACGCATGGTCACCTCGTGTCCAACCTCACGCAAGGGAGCCGCCTGCAGGGCACGGCTACCTCTTGTCGCATCGTCCCGGAATTCTACGTGCTGGGCCGTCCAGATATCGAGGCCGTGGCCGCGCATGCGGCAATAGAAGCGGTACGCGGTGGGACACCTACAGACAGGCCGTTCAGACTCTATAGGAAAGAGCGTGTTCTGCCGCTGCTGGCGGAAAACCGGGGGGGGTCACTGGGGGTTCCCAACCCGTCCCCCCCCCCCCTCGAAAACCGGAGAGGGGTCACTACCGGTTCGAACCCCTCCCCCCCCCCTCCCCAGTCCATCATGAAAAGGGGGAGGTCACTACCAGTTCGAACCCCCCCCCCTCGCCGCCGGCAAACGATTCCCGCTCCTCGGGACAGTTGGACAATGGTGGGGATGCTGGGACAGTGGTGGGAACGGTGGTGGTGGGGACAGTGGTGCGGGGACAGTGGGACAGTGGTGCGGACAGTGGTGGGGACGGTGGTGGTGGGGACAGTGGTGAGGGGACAGCGGGACAGTGGTGGGGACAGTGGGACAGTGGTGGGAACGGTAGTGCTGGGGACAGTGGTGAAGGCGGTGGTGAGGACAGTGGCGGGACAGTAGTACAGTGAGGAAAGTGGTGGGGGCAGTGGGGACAGTGGGACAGTGATGGGGACAGTGGGGACGGTGGGACAGCACAGTGGGACAGCGGCGGGGACAGTGGGACAGTGGTGAGGACAGTGGGGACAGTGTGACAGTGGTGGGGACCGTGGTGAAAGTGGGGAGAGTGGGACCGTGGTGGGACAATGGTGGGGCGAGTGGGGACAGTGAGACACTGGTGGGGGCACTGGTGGGGACAGCGGGGACAATGGTGGGAACAGTGGGGACATTGGGACAGTGGTTGGGACGGTTGTGGTGGGGACAGAGGTGTGGGGACGGTGGGAATGTGTTTGAAACAGTGGGACAGTAGAGGGTACAGTGGTGGTGGGGACAGCGGTGAGGGCGGTGGCGAGGACGGCGGTGGGACAATGGGACAGAGGTACAGTGGGGACAGTGGTAGGGACAGTGGGAACAGTGGAACAGTGGGACAGTTCAGTGGGACAGCGGCGGGGACAGTGGGACAGTGGGGACAGTGGGACAGTGGCTGGGGCCGTGGAGAAAGTGGGGAGAGGGGAACCGTTGTGGGAACAGTGGCGGGGACAGTGGGGACAGTGCGACAGTGGTGGGGGCACTGGTGGGGACAGTGGGGACGGTGGTGGGAACAGTGGGGACAGTGGTGGTGAGGACAGTGGTGCTGGGGGCAGCAGTGGGGGATGTGGTGCGGACCAGTGGTAGGGACCCGGGAGTCGTTTGCTGGCGGAGAGCGTGGGGGGGTTTGGGATGGTATCGAACCGGTAGTGACCCCCCACCGGTTTTTTGGAGGGGGGGGGAGGGGGGTTCGAACCGGTAGTGACCCCCCCGGTTTTCTGGAGGGGGGGAGGGAAGGGGTTCGAACCGGTAGTGACCCCCCTCCAGTTTTCTGGGGGGGTGGGGGGGTTCGAACCGGTAGTGATCCCCCCCGGTTTTCCGGAGGGGGGGGAGGGCGAGGTTCTAACCGGTAGTGAACCCCCCTGGTTTCCAGGAAAGGGGGGGGTCCAGCAGGGAGGGGGGGGGATTTTCGGAGGGGGTGGGACAGCCGGGTTCCAGAGGAAGAGGGCGGCGGAATTTTCCACAGTAAAGCGGCGGTGGATCACGCTCTCTCCTCTATAGTCTTGGGGAGGAGGGCGGCAACCCCCAGGAAAACCTGGGCAGGCCACATCGTGGCCGATTCACATGTGCTCAACATGTCAGCGAACGCAGCATTCGCACGCTCATGGAGGTCCAGGATAGCACGAGGGGCCGAATGGTCAACCCCTACCGCAGTCCCCTTGGAAAACACAGAAGCCCCCTGGGCGACCTCGGCAGAGGTGAGAGGGTCCATGTGCTGAACGGCCTCCAAGGCAAGAAGGCGGAGGTCATTCATATCCTCACTCAGGGTCAATCGTCCAGAATCGTCAGCACTCCAAAGCCCGTCCCAATACTCGGAACGACATTGCATGAGGTCCCCAGGGAGCTGCTCAACACCCTGGGGGGTGGCCAGGTATTCAATCGCTTCAACGGTGTCATGCCTGAGCCAAGCATGCACTTTCTTAGTGCCATAAAGGGGGGGCTTTGAGCAGCCATGCCTTCTGCCCCGCCTTAGCTGATGCACGAGCGGCCGACCAGGCCAACTCAAGGTGAGCAGAGCAGGCATCGCGAAGAACGGAAATCTGTGGGCCATCATCGCTTGGCAGGGACGCTACCTGAGTCCGCCACCAAGCAGGATCGCGAGGAGCACCAGCTGGCATCATGTTGTCGAAGGAGGGCGCGAGCCCAGCAATCTGCCGGCGCAGAACACCTGCACGAACATGCCCACGACTGCGAAGAGCAAGTTGGAACTCCACCAGCTTCCGTGAAAGGTGCGACCAGAAGCAGAGCAACGGAGCTTGGAAGGACTGGCCAAGGTTACCGCGCCTAGCAAGAGTAGTACGCTCAAGCTGGACGTAACCCCCACGTTCAATGTCAGAAGCAGAGTGGTCAGCGCAACAGGCGATAGCCCAAGATTTCGACATGAGCTCCGCAGCAGCAGACCAAGCACGATACACGTGCGCAAGCCCAGGAGAATGACGATCCAGAACATGAGGCATCAGAGCACCCCAAGTGGCCCAGAAAGGTCGAGGGGTCCAGGATCACAAACACGCCCAAGATAGACCTCCCAAGGTAGATCGGGACCGAGCCAGACTGGAGTCGGAGCAGGTTTACATCGCTTCCGCACGGGCCGATGGAATGCAGTTGCCTTCAAGCCGACCTGGAGACGAGCGCGCGCCTTGAACGGGCGAGCTCTCGAACCCAGAGACGCACACGCAGGATCCGAGGTCTCCGCTGGCCAGGACATAGTGGACGAGAGAAGCTTAACCTTGAGTGCATGTGTCAGCCACGCGCAGAGGGGGGTGGGGGGAGGGGGGAGGGCTTCTTAGAAGGACCCCTGCTTCTTAGAAGGCGCGGGCCTTGTCTAAAGATGCAAGGCCGGCGCCTTCTAAGGAGTAGCCTCCTTCTAAGAAGCCCTCCCCCCTCCCTCCGGCCCCTTGTGCGCGCCGCCAGATGTGCTCTCCAAGCCACTCGGAGGGAGCAGGCGAGCACGCGCGAGAGCTAACAAGCCGGACGGGTGCATGGCATCTACATCGGTGTTAACAGCTCCCAGTAGCAGCCGTGGCACATCAAGAGTGCTCAGGAAAGTGGGTATGACTTGCATCTTCTCAAGGTTCTCACCCGCAGCCCCCAAATCAGAGACCGTGTGCACGACGCCGACTGCCAGGCAGGAGGCCTGGGTCTTAAGCTCCAGGAGTAGCCAACCCTTGCCAGAGCCCATGTCACGGACATTGGTCTCCAAAGCAAGGGAGCGACCGGGGCAGAGACTTCGGCTCACAGGAGCCGCAAGTCCACCATGGGTTCCCCCTCCAGGGGAGGCAAAGGCGGACTGGATGTTCGGCGTCCATTCCATCTGGGACCCATCCTCTTTAAAACACTTGAGCTTATCACCAAGAAGGTGATGCTCAGCAATGAAAACAACCATCACGAAGGGCCCGAGCACGGGCCGCAAATCCCTTCGGAAGAGAGCTCCAGGAAGTGACATTAGCAAAGAGGAACGTTATGACAGACTGATCACACATCCCCTGGGTGGCGGTGGCGGGGTCAGCAGCAGCGGCATCTCCACTTAGGATTCCGACAGGAGGGTTGCAGTGCAGCTCCACCGAGTGAGCCACTGCCGCTGGGTCACCCCCACTGCCATCACCACCGGGGAGGGGACGGCGCACAGCACGTTCTGGCAGAGCCTTGCTGGAACGTGCAGTGCGCAAGCGTCGCGTGCTGAAGCCCCAGTTAGGCCTGCCATCCCGCTTGGGCCAGCACCCGCTGGAACGTGCCCTCACCGTTCGTGGCCACGGCCTTGATGCGCTTGGCGCCTTTTTTACGGGCGCGGCGGGACATGAGCTTCTCCTTGCGGTTGGACTCATCGCTGGTGAGAGCCTGCACCAGGGACCTCTTACGAAGACCCTCCAACTCAGTGGCAAGCTCTCCAGGCTCGCCCACAACCGAATCCATGTCGGACATGTCATCAGGATGTCCTGCCTGTTGTACGACTCGTTGCATATCACGTAGTACAGTCCAGTAGTCGTAAGACTGGACGAACTTCTTACACCATTCACGAAGATCAGCATCAGAGATTGAGACCAGATCAGGTGGAACAGGTGCCGCAGCGCCGGCAGCTCCTCCGCCTGACCCTGCAGCAGCAGCAGCAGCAGCAGCAGCAGCAGCAGCAGCAGCGCGCCCGTCTCCCGCAGCAGGAACACGCCCTTGAGCAGCAGCGCCAACTGCAGCTCCTCCTGCTCCTTCAGCGGGGACCCGAGCCCCAGGGACATGGGGAGCACGAGCAAGGGCAATTTCTTCAGCTTTAAGAGTGTTTCCAGGCAGCAGGGTTGAACGAGTTGAGAGCCACGTCCGCCTGCTGTCTGGCCAACTTTGCTGCACCGAGCTCCGCCGTAGCCGCAGCCAGAGCTGCGTCGGCCTCGGCAAGCTGGTTGCGGAGCTTGTTGCACTTCTCCTCTTTGAAGATGATCTCCTGATGTGCGATGCGTTCAGACCGCGCGGTACTTTCCGCATCTTTTGCGAATCGGGTGCGCTCCTCACGCGCACCTGCATCAAGTTGAGATTACGCCACTCTGCAGAAACGAGTGGAGGCTGAGCAGCCAGTGGTTCAAGAGCACCTCGTAAATCAGGTCGGACTCCGAGTAGCAGAACAGTGGCCTTGCGAACTTCATCTTTGGAACTGCTGGCGGAACCTCATCGTATTCCATGGCAGCTTTGGCAATGTTGACCATCGCACCGAAGTAGGGGCCGTGACATTTAGAGCAGCAGGGATGGCCATGGTGTGCATACTCCCAGTGACCACACTTGCTGCAAGCCAAGTGGCCAGCTAGGGGGCGGCCTGCATGCCGCCTGCGTCTCCATCGGCCGCCTCCACGTGGGCCACTCCAAACCCATGGGTTGTACGTGAAACGATTGTCACCAACAGGCGGATCATCACCATGATAGCGCCCTTGGAAGGGGCTGCCCTTCCACCTCGGCCTCGAGCCTCTGGAGTCGGCACGGGAGGAATGCTCCGTCTTGAGCCGAAGTTGCTGCGGGAGGAGGAGGAGGAGAAGGAGGAGGAGGAGGAGGAGGAGGAGGATAGGAGGAGGAGGAGGAGGAAGAGAGGAGGAGGGGGAGGAGGAAGGGGAGGAGGAGAGGAGGAGGAGGGGAAGGGAGGAGGAGGCAGGAGGGGGGAGGAGGAGGAGGAGGAGGAGGAGGAGGAGGAGGAGGAGGACGAGGAGTCAGGAGGAGGAGGAAAAGGGAGGAGGGAGGGGAAGAGGAGGAGGGAGGAGGAGGCAGGAGGAGGGGGGGGTAGGATAGGAAGGAAGGGAGAAGGTGCAGCCCCAGAGCTAGACCGGGGAGGACGAGGCCGTGCTGTACCAGGGACTTCTGGCCGACACGCCTGGCCACGGCGGACGCCAGACCTGAAGCGGGTCTAGTGCCTTGGCCGCGGGTTCAGAGCCCGAGGGGTGAGGGATGAACGGGGCGAGGGAGGCATGGAGGGAGGAAGATGAAGAGCAGTCATAGTAGGAGGAGGGCAACGGGGGAGTTTGAGGGAGGATCGGGAGGGAGGGAGGGGGGGAGGCTGCCTTCGAAGCCGGTCGCCTTTGCAGCTATGTGCCCGATGCCTCTGCAGCTTTCCCCTCTTTTCCTTTTTGTCCCTTTCCATTCCCCCTTCCCGGCTTCACCCCTCCCCTCTTTTCCACTGCTCACCTTCCCCTTCTCCTGCTCCTACTCCTCCTCCTCCCTCCTCCTACTCTCCTCCTCCCTCCTCCTGCCTTCTCCTCCTCCTCCTCCTCCTCCTCGTCCTCTCCTCCTCCTCCTCCTCCCTCCCCTCTCCTCCTCCTCCTCCTCCTCCTCCTCCTCCTCCTCCTCTTCCTCCTCCTCCCCCCCTTCCCTTCTCCCCCCCCCCCATCCTGACTGCCGCCTTCTCGCGCTCCTCCTCTCCCTTCCCTCCTGCTTATCATCCTTCTCCTCCACTGCCTCCCCTGCCTCCCTACCTCCTCTGTCACCTCTGCCTCCCTCCCGCGCTCCTCCTACCTCCTCCTCTCCTCCTCCTCCTCCTCCTCCTCCTCCTCCCTCCTCCTCCTTCCTCCTCCTCCCCTCCCTCCTCCACCTCCTCCTCCTCCTCCTCCCTCCTCCTCCTCCTCCTCCTCCTCCTCCTCCTCCTCCTCCTCCTCCTCCTCCTCCTCCCCCTCCTCCTCCCTCCCTCCTCCCTCCTCCTCCTCCCGTCCTCCCTCCTCCCTCTTCCCTCCTCCCTCCTCCTCCTCCTCCTCCTCCTCCTCCTCCTCCTCCTCCTCCTCCTCCTCCTCCTCCTCATCCTCCTCTGCCTCCCCGCCGCTCCCGCTCGCTGCTGCCCGCTTGCCGTGCACCCCGGGGGCAGAGCGCCTGCCCCGGCGCAGGCGGGCCAGCTGGAGGTGGTGCCGAAGGCGCACCAGTGGACCGCCCCGCCGCCCACTCGCCTTTCTTCGGCGGCGGGTTAGGTCGGACTCCGGGCCTGTCCCTCTACAGGGGGAAAATTCAGAAATAGTCCAAACATAGTCTGGGGACGATTTGTCTAGCATGTTTTGGCTATGTTTGAGCACGTTCATTTTTCGACTAAAATCCGCCTGTAGGGGGACACGCCCGACCTAAGCGGCGGGCCCCGGGGGAAGTGAGGAGGGGCTGGCCTTCTCAGAAGGCTCGGACGTCCCCCGGCCTTCTTGAGAAGTTCGTCAAGCATTCCCCGGGGACGCAGAAGACTTCTCAGAAGGCTGGAGCCCTTCGGAGAATTCCCGCCGCTTCTGAGAAGGCGTTCTCCTTCTCATTTCCCCCCCCCCTGTCCCGCCGCCGACTTTTCCTGCCGCGCTGCACTCGCTGCACCCCCGCCGCTCCGCTCGGGGGTCGCTCTTCGAAGTTCGCAATTTTTTGGCGCACGAAAGGAGAGAGTTTGGAGACCAGGTGGCTCAGAAGAGAGCTGGCAGGTACGAGTCCCCAGTGTCAGCTCTGTAGGCTGGCCCTCTGGTCTTGTAATTTTCCCAGCATCGTCGAAGCAGCGATTCCTGGCAGCCCATCTTGTCGGGTTCCTACGAGGTTTTCGCCCCCTCCTTGTCCCCTGCCGCTCCGCTCGGGGGGCGCGAGGGGAAGTAAGATCCCCACCCGCATCTCGTCGTGGTAGCCGTGCGGTCGAGGTTCGAGCTTTCCGGGCGTTTTCGTAGGCTCCCAGAGGTTTTCCGGCCTCGGGAGGCCCTCAAGCAGTTGCACCTCGCCCAGAACTTTCTGGCGGAGCCCAGATCGGCCCGAACGGCCGCCGGAGACCCGAGTTGTGGCCCGAAGTCCAAGTCTTCTCTCTCGTGGTAGGCTTCGGGTCGCGCGCGGACAGCCCCCCCCGGGTAATCTCGGCTGGCAATACCAGGTCGCCCGAGTGCTCCCAGCTGGTCTCAACAGGCCCCCCAGGCAGCCTGCGGCGATCTCAACACCGCAATCCTGGGGCGCTCCCAGCGCCTCCTCCTCCCCCCTCCTCCTCCTCCTCCTCCTCCTCCTCCTCCTCCTCCTCCTGGGTGTTGACACCGCCCCAGTTATTCGGGGGGCCTGCTGGCGCCAGCTGTGGCTACCTGGGGGGGGCGGGTGTGTCCGTGCGCAGCCCGCCAGGCGGCCACAGGCAAACTCGTAAGAGCGACCTTTCGCCGCAGTGATCTTTCTGGTGCGTGCCCACGGGGCCCCCCCAGGGGGGTGGTCCTCCCCCTCTTCCTCCTCCTCTTCCTCCTCCTCCATCCTCCTCCTCCATCCTCCTCCTCCATCCTCCTCTCCTCCATCCTCCTCCATCCTCTCCTCCATTCCTCCTCCCTCCATCCTCCTCCTCCTCCTCCTCCTCCTCCTCCTCCTCCTCCTCCATCCTCCTCCATCCTCCTCTCCCTCCTCCTCCTCCTCCTCCTCCTCCTCCTCCTCCTCCTCAATATGCACCTCGGCGCGCCCACGAAGACACTCATGGCCCGAGTGTGGCTCTCTGGCCCCCCGGCCCCTCCGGCCCCCTCGCGTTCCGTCGCGCCCTCTTCCCCTGGTGCCCCGCTGTGCCCCGGCGCGCCCCGCCGCTCTCCGACCGCCGTCTGACTCTCTTGCGGCCGCAAACCAAACAGGTTGCGCTTCTTGCCCCTTTCCTCCTCCTCCTCCTCCCCCTCTCCTCCTCCCCATCCTCCTCCTCCCCCTCCTCCCCTCCTCCTCCTCCTCCTCCTCCTCCCCATCCTCCTCCTCCTCCTCCTCCTCCTCCTCCTCTTCCTCTCCGTTCTGTTCAAGGGGGGACGAGTCGAACCGTATACATAACAGTATGGGCCAGCGCCGGCCCCCAGCACTGTGCTCCTGGCAGTCTGTGTTGTGCAGTTATCTTTGGAGCAACATGTGTGGTGCGATCTATGTGGTGCAGTCCACTCTGCTGAACTTGAAGCCGTCATCTCCACTGCTCGCGCAAACATCCCACCCACCCACCCGCAGCTTGGTTTGCAAAACCTCTTAAGACCGACTACGACGACACCGACGACAACGACTAGGACGACACCGACGACGTCTCCGATGACTTCGACGACGACAACGACGCCGACGACGACGACGACGACGAAGACGACGACGACGACGACGCCAACGAAGGCGACGACGAGGGAGGGGGAAGGACGACGACGGCGACAACGACGACAACGACGACAACGACGAGGGAGGAGGGAGGACGGCGACGACGCGAACGACGACGAAGGAGGAAGGACGGCGACGCCGACGACGACAACGACGAGGGAGGAGGGAAGACGACGACGACAACGACGACGACGACGACGACGACGACGAAATAGGAGGGACGACGACGACACGCCAAGACGACGACGACGACGTGGGAGGAGGAGGAAGGACGACCACAGCGACAACGACGACGGAAACGACCACGACGCCAAAGAGGAGGACGACGACGAACACGAGGAAAGACAGAGGACGACGTAGCGACGACGACGACGACGACGCGGGAGGAGGGAGGACGGCGACGACGACGACGACGACGACGACGCAAGAGCGCGCGCGCACGCTTTTGTTGAACATCCGTGTTGCGAAACCTTTTTTTTTGTTAGGTTTTTGGACGCACGATTTTGAAATCCTTCCGAAACCGATGGGTTTTGAAGGTTTTCGGCATACGCTCGCGACGACGCGCGCGTCTGCACTTCGTTCCGTTTTTTGCAGAGGATTATCGCGACGGCACACGCGCAAGGGCGTTCGACAGATTTCGACATGAGCGCGCGCAAAGCCCGTTTGGTAGCATTTTGTGAAAATATTGAAAAACCCATGATTTTCTTAAGAATTCGCAAGAGCTCGCGCGGAAACTTTTTTAGGAAATCAATATTGCGAAACCATGTGTTTTTGTATGTTTTTTGGAAACTCGATTACGAAATCCTTCCGGCACCGAAGGTTTTTGAAGGATTTCGGCATGCGCGCGCGACGACGCGCGCGTGTGCACTTCGTCCCTTTTTTTGCAAGGGATTCGTGAAACAGTGTTATGTGAGAACAAAAAAGGCACCGCATAGGTTTTCTTGTACAAGGGAACCTCAGGGGGGGGGAAGCCGGCCTAGCTGGGATGGTATCATTTCATATTAAGGATGGACGAGTGTGCAGAAAATGTATGAAATCATATTGTTCCAGGGGGAACCGATAAGTCCGGGGGGGGGGGGTAGAGTCTAGAAAGGAGACTTAATTTCTGTTCGCAGTGAGTTGTCCACTCCACTGCTCGCGCAAACATCCCACCCACCCACCCGCAACTTGGTTTGCAAAATCTCTTAAGACCGTGACGGTGGGTACCACATGGCACTTGGCAATAACAGCGACGCCGACGACGACAGCGACAACGACGATGACGACGCCGCCGACAACGACTACGACGACACCGTCGACGTCTCCAACGACTTCGACGACGCCGACAACGACGACGACGACGACACCGACGACGACGACGACGACACCGACGCCGACGACGACGATGACAACGACGACGACGATGACGACGACGATACGACGACGATAACGACGACACCGACGACGACGACGACGTCAACGACGCCGACGACGACGACGACGACGGCGGCGACGACGACGACGCCAACGCCGACGACGACGAAGATGACAACGACGCCGACGCCGACGACGACGACGAAAACGACGACGACGTCGCCAACGAAGACAACGAGGAAGGAGGAAGGACGACGACGGCGACAACGACGACAACGACGAGGGAGGAGGGAGGACGGCGACGACGCGAACGACGAAGAAGGAGGAAGGACGGCGACGCCGACGACGGCAACGACGAGGGAGGAGGAAAGACGACGACGACGACGACAACGACGACGACGACGACGGCGACGAAATAGGAGGGACGACGACGAGACGCCGACGACGGACGACGACGACGACGAGGGAGGAGGAGGAGGAAGGACGACCGCGGCGACAACGACGACGGAAACGACCACGACGCCAAAGAGGACGACGACGACGAACACGAGGAAAGACAGAGGACGACGTAGGCGACGACGACGACGACGACAACCTCACGGGAGGAGGGAGGACGGCGACGACGACGACGACGACGCAAGAGCGCGCGCGCACGCTTTTGTTGAAAATCCGTGTTGCGAAACCTTGTGTTTTTGTAGGTTTCTTGGACGCACGATTTTGAAATCCTTCCGAAACCGATGGGTTTTGAAGGTTTTCGGCGTACGCGCGCGACGACGCGCGCGACTGCATGTCGTCCTGTTTTTTGCAGAGGATTCCTGCGACGGCACACGCGCAAGGGCGTTTTACAGATTTCGACATGAGCGCGCGCGAAGCCCGTTTGGTAGCATGTTGTGAAAATCTTGAAAAACCTATGGTTTTCTTAAGATTTCGCAAGAGCTCGCGCGGAAGCGTTTTTTTAGCAACTCTGTGTTGCGAAACAATGTGTTTTTGTATGTTTTTTGTTGAAAGTCGATTGCGAAATCCTTCCCGCACCGAAAGTGTTTGAAGGATTTCGGCATGCGCGCGCGACGACGCGCGCGTGTGCACTTCGTTTCATTGTTTGCAAGGGATTCGTGCAACAAGTGCTATGTTAGAACAGAAAATGTCACCGCATCGTGGTTTTTGAGTATTTTTTTGAAGAAAAAAAAATCTATGCTTGTGCAAACATCCGACCCACCCACCCGGAACTTGGTTTGCAAAACCCATGCGGCGGCGATTGCGATGAGTGCTAGGCGTTGGCTGGTGCATCTCTGCGGCCGCGCTAGCCCGCGCATGCTCGCGCGCACGGCGGCCAGCTAGTTTGGCGCGACCGACGCGGCCGCAGTGGTGCCGACCGCTGGGCACTTCCCAGTGGGCACTTCAGTGCGAGCTGGTCACTGAGGCGGACTCGGTATCATGGCGACGCCGACAACGGTAGACACGACTATGAGAGATGAGAGTAGCGAT